GACAATCTTCTCCCGTTCACCGGCAAAGAAGAACTCGAGAAGACTGATGCTGCGGACATTCCAGCTCTACTAGAAGTGGCAGAGCAGTATGATCCTTGGGTTGATTGGGCGTATTCATGGTCCTCGCCGGATCTTCATCAGACTCGAATTGCTGTTGGACGCAATGGAGAGGCTGCCCACATGTACGTGAGGTTGACTACACCGACTGTATTGCCAACACTCAACCCGATGACTTTATTCTGGGACAGCAATACGACCTTCACATTGAACTTTGAGGCTCCCAATCGGGCAGTAGGTCTGACAGCTGAAGCCGTCGAACATATGGGGTCGATCACCTCACTTTTCCTTAGGGCAACTAGTTCGAAACCTACGACACCAGAGCAAGAGCAAGACTTTGTGCTGCTATTTGGGCCCGACATACCGCACACTGAGCTGGAAAGCTGGTTCCTCCAGTATGAGGGTATTGAGTCTGCTTGTGATGTGTATACCCGCAACCATCACCCTGTAATGGGTGTCGTAAGAGATTGCTACAACAATCCGATGCTTTTCCGGGAGTGGGTTGTAACAGAAGAGGACGGCTTGACTGTTGTCAAAGTCGAGTGTACTAATCTTCCTCGCAGGAGGAACCTTCTGCATCGCCAAACGTTGGCTGCAAAGATGGACGCTATGCCAGTTACTTCTGCGAAAGTGTGCGTTATACCAGCAGACTTATGCACTATCGAAAAGCTCTCATTTACGCAGAGCATTTTTGGCCGCTTTATATCTGCTATTATTAATAAACTGGAAGCGAATCTACTTGCGACGAGGCTGTGTCAAGAGATCTTGCAAGATGTCGACTTCTCGAACACCGACCATATTATAACTGCCATCACTACACCCTCAGCCAGCGCCTTAACAAATTACCAGCGGTATGAATTCTTCGGTGACACGGTTTTGAAGTTTACTGTATCCTGCCAGCTCTTCTTTCAGAACCCCAACTGGCATGAAGGGTACTTATCCCAGGGAAGAGACTCGATTATCAAGAATCATCGCCTCGCTCGCGCCGCGCTTGACGCCGGGCTGGACGCGTTTATCATCAACAAGGCTTCCATGCCGCGCAAGTGGATTGCGCCGCTCATCTCCGAGAAACTAGCATCTGCTGCTGGTCGACGTTCAATATCGACGAAGGTGCTTGCTGATGTAGTAGAAGCTCTTATCGGCGCAGCGTATCTCGACGGCGGGTTTGATCGAGCCCACGCCTGCATCCGACGCTTTCTTCCCGAAGTTGACCTCAAACACCTGGGCCAGGCTCTGCCCTTCGCCGAGTCCCAGTCCCCCACCCAGCATACCGTCAACGACGAGAAGCTCGTCGAGCGCATCGGCTACACGTTCCAGAGCCCGGCGATCCTCGTCGAGGCGCTCACCCACCCTTCGTGCCAGCACGACGCCTCGACGCAATCGTACCAACGCCTCGAGTTCCTCGGCGACGCCATCCTGGACATGGTCATCCTGACCACCCTCCTCGCCCACCCCACGGAAATCTCACAGGGCGAAATGACCCGCATCAAACACGCTGTCGTGAACGCCAACCTCCTCGCCTTCTTCTGCATGGAGTTCTCCCTCACCCAAGCACGCACCCAGGTCGCAACCCACGCCGCGGATCAGATCACCCTCTCCTCCGCCACCGAGGTTCTGTCCCTCTGGCACTTCATGCGCTGCGGCGGCGGCACCGACCTCAAGCACGCGCGCGACCAAGCTTTCGCCCGCCACCGGGCCCTCCGCGCCTCGATCCTCGACACCCTGCACCACGGCCCCCAGTACCCCTGGCAGGCCCTCTCCGCGCTCAACGCCGACAAGTTCTTCTCGGATCTCATCGAGAGCGTCCTCGGGGCGATCTTCGTGGACTCCGACGGGAGTCTCGATGAGTGTGTCAGGTTTGCCGAACGGATCGGCCTCCTCTGGTTCCTGCGCCGCGTCTTGGCGGAGGGGGTGGATGTGGTGCATCCAAAGATGGTGGCGCAGCAGTTGGCTGCAACGGCTGGGCTGGGGGGTACGGTGTTCACGTCGCAGCGGGTGGTGGTCTCGCAGGCGCAGGGGCCGACGGCGGCGGCGGAGGAAGACGCTACGTATCGGTGTCAGGTCGAGATAGCTGGGGAGGTTGTGGTCATGGTCGAGGGTTGTTCGTGCGCCGAGGAAGCGGAGGTCAAGGCCGCGTATCAGACCATCGAGCTTCTGAAGAGTAGGGGGGCTTAAGGACGAAGCTAACGACGATGAGTCTCTGGTTTTGCCCACGCCTACTCCCGATCTGGGGATCGGAGATTGGGGATCTTCTTGGAGAAAGAGTGTTTCTTGGATGCTTGGATGCTCTCGGGAGACGGCAGTTCGCTCTACTTTAAGTACTACAATACTTGGACCGGAGCAATCACATGGTATCTTTTGGGCAGATACATAGAAGAGATCAGAGTGATCATCTTTTGGAGGCTTGCATTGGTTACCGGGTTGACCACAGACTGCTTTTTTGGGACTGCGTTTGGTATAAACTTGATACATAGGAACGGAACTAGACAGAGACAGATTGGGCTATTAAAGAGGCAAGCGCATGGGCTTTCATGCTGGTTGAATGATAATGGAAGCTTGAAATTCTATGGTCGTGATTTCAACTCACTTGATACCTCGGTATAACTGACTATATCGTTATTCCGTACAGCTGACTCGCTTTGCTATGTACCCCAAGTCCATACCGAAAGGTGAAACGCACAAGCTACGTATTCATTGGAGTAAGAATGATGTATTGTCCCAACCATACCAAGAGAATAAAGGAATGATACAAAAGTCCCTAAGGAGTCTACGATCGTAGCTCAGCCTTTTCTCTTCCCCGCTTTACCACGTCCACGAGTCGTCTTCGGAACAGGTTCCTCCTTCTTCACCTCTTCCTCTTCCTCGTCTTCTGCTTCATCCTCCACCGGCTGGTTCTCGCCCCCCTCGACGCCATCACTTCCCGAATCGACCTGCTCATCGTCACTGGCCGCAACAATCACCCCGTCGTCCGATCGCTCGCTAACAGACGACTGGACCTCGACATCGGTGTTCTCCGCAGCGGCAGCGGCGGCAGCAGCGGTAAGTGCAGGCTCATTCCGTATGCCCGCAAGCACCTTCTTGGCCTCGCTCTCCTCGCCATTCCACGCGCCACAGCTCCCGCACCGCCAGCGCCCCAGCTCCTCCAATGACTTAACCCCGGGGGGCGCCTGGCCGTTGACCAGCCGACAGGTGGCGCAGATCAGCACCATGCGGTTCTTGGGCTGCGTCTCGTCCTCGCCCAGCAACACGTCCAGCAACCGATCATACCAGTGTGAGGATTCGATGTATTGCGGCGGGGTGGAGGAGAAGGCATTGGGCGCGAAACCCGGCTCGTCGAATGCAGGCGGTGAGGGCAGGTTCGACCCCGGCCCCGACCTGGGCCCCTGCTGCTGCTGCTGCCGCTGCTCGTGGCCTGGAATCATGAACGGAGAGGGAGGAGGGTGTTGCGGCTGTTGTTGTTGTTGGTGTTGCGGTGTACGACGGATATTGGCCGTCGGGGGTGGAGGTAGCCCCGTGCGTTGAACGAATGGCTGCTGCTGCTGCTGCTGTTGTTGGTTACGCTTCTTGCCGGCAGCCGCGGAGGCGTCAGACTTGCGCTTCTCATCGCCGGTTCGGGACTTGGTGCGCTTGAGGGTGCCACCGCCATATTTCTCCAGGAGCTGCTGGGTGGAGTTGTAGCGGGTGGCTTCTTTGAGTTTCTCGATGGTGGCGTCGCGTTGTTTCTGGAGGGAGTCGAGGTGGGCTTGTGTCTTGGTGATGCGGTAGTCGTAGTACCGTGTGGCGCCTGTGCGGACGGTGTAGATTCTGTTTGCGGAGAGAAGCGGAGTGTTAGGTTTGCTGGAGACAAGACGAGGAAAGGAGCTGGTGTTTGACGGGGGAGGGGGGGATGAGGTCATACAGGATGGGCCCGCCGACTATGGCAGCGTATTCAGCTATCCCCCAATTCTGCCATCCTAGCACCAGAGCCAAGATGATGGAGTAGAGGAGGTAGGCGAAGGTGGTGTAGAGGGTCCAGAGGGCCTTGAAGCGGCGGGCGTGTTGCCGGTGAAGGTCGAGGCGGTTGGTGGTTCGGGTGATCTTCTCGGATAGGGCTGATAGAGCTTTCTCGAAGGATGCTGGAGAGTCGTCTTCGGCCTGATGTTGGGGAAGGTTCCCGACGCAAGTGAGTGAGAGGGGTTGCGATCAGTGGGTGTGGAACGTACCTTGAAAGGCCACAGGCGCACCATGGCGGTGTTGTTCGTGTAGCGAGTTAAACTGAATTTCTGGATAAGTGAAAGAAGACCGGGAAACAAGGATGGAATGAAGCTAAGTCAAAAGCATATTTGGTAGACGGAAGATCTTCGTTAAGTTCCCTAGAGGGGGGGGATGTATTGGATATTGGAATGGAAAAGAGTGACTGAATGAAGTGAAAGAAAGAAAGAACTTGGAATGGATGGCTGGATGCTGGAGATGCGGGAACGAATTGCTGCCTCAGCTTTGAGGGGGAAAATGACAACGACGTCAACGTCAGCTGCAGCCGCACAGACCACTTACCGGTTACGGCCTGAAGCTCCCCTGAGTCGCCGCCTCAGGCTCTCTCTCTCTCCCCTCTCCCCTCTCCGCTTCTCTTCCTACACTCTACTGGTACTTGAGTAGTACATCCACACTCCATCCTCCACACTTTTCGCCCCTCCACTTGAGTCGGTCTTCGTTCTTTGTTCCATGCTTCTGTTAATGACAACACTCCCATTTGCGCCTGCGCCTGCTACTGGCGACAACCATTCCAAATATAACTCAGCGGACGTTGCCTCGTCATCGTGTCACAAGCATGAGCATCTGGACCTCCGTCGGCTGCCTAGATACCCCGTGGGTCTGGCTTAGGCAGATAGATATCAGCTGGCAGCGTTTCTATGAGATTTTGCTGAGTTGGAGTTTTGCCTGAGTACAGGAAAAGTGCTTCCTCCTACCATTTCTCATCTGGAAGAATACCCCAGCTTGTTGATTCTACGAGATCCCACCCCGCGGTTGAGGCCCAGGGCTTTCCGTATGCACAAACAAGCTGCAGCCTCTTGCGTCTGTGTGGCCACTCACAACAGCCTGCCGGAAACCACCTCCTGCGTGCTGGGACTAGTGGGGTTGACGCTAACCTCTTCTCATAGGGAGGCCTACCCAATTACAAAGAGTTCACGAGGGTGTAACGCGACAGGCAGTATTTTGCATTGCATGCTACAAACAATAGCCAGCGAGCTCAACCCTGGAGATCGAGGATCGAGTCCCTGGTTAACAGCAGAGCTAGCCGCATTCGACCCTGGAAGCCTGCTAGCCAATTTGGCATTGATCAGCAGGGGTCTGCGCAGGGATCGGGCGAGGGAGGGCGACCACCGTAGACTCAGACATCGTCGAGAATGCCCATCAAGTCGCCGCCCACATTAGCTCTGTGGCATATGCCTCTCGCGGTTTCTTTGTCTGAAGTCTGGCGCGTCGAAAGCACGACCACATAGGCGGTTCCAGACTCGCGAGACTGCCGCCGTCAACCACGGTATGGGACGACAATTAGCTTTGGCCAATTCGGAGCAATGTAGTGGAGCGTGACGGAGCATGCAAGGGGACCTCTTCGCTCTGATTTCAGCTTGCCAGTATCGGCAGCAATTGATTAGGTAGATACGACCAAGGCCCGACCTACCGTCTGCTGAATGTTTCGCCACGCTGGGAAGTATCAGTTTACGCGAAATCCCCTTCGGCTCTCCCCGCAATACATCGAAATGGAGACATCCACAACGAGCAGATGCGTAACTCTCCTACCGATAGCATCCTGGCATCTAAGTGGTCGATGTTCGGCGGTCGGAGATGCACAGCCTGCATTTGCTGGGTAGAAAATCGAAGCTACCATACTTCGGATAAAGCAAGCCTTCAGCCATCGCTACGGACAAGCTTGACAGCTACCCTTGTCAAAAGCATGAGATCCACGGTATGGAAGGGATCGACCCGCAGTTCAAACTACCCTTGACGCGACTCGATGAGGATTCTATTAGCTCAGCACACCCATCATGCGCGGTAGCGCCTGGGCATCGAGCCAGACTCTCTGTTGTTTTGAGACTCCTTTGTTTGGAATCTATGAGGCCCCAATGCCTCGGAGCCTCGGATTCGACTATAATATCCACATACCTATTCATTCCGCACTATTCCCTGATGAACATCTTCTTGATATCAGAGAGCATGATTGCACATTGTACCAAACATTAACCGAGACAAATATGGCGGGCACGATCCAACTGATTCGCACTGTATCTCTTCCAAAGACCTTCTTGCTTGCATGTTTCCTGGCGGTTGCCGCGTTTGGCTCGATTGAGCTCCTGCTTCTGATATTTGACTTCTTCAAACGTCGCCGGGGGTTATACTTCTGGAGCCTGCTCTTATCGACGCTGGCCACCCTCATCTTCACCGTTGTCATTACGCTTCTGTGGTTCGCGGTACCCCAAGCACGCTTTGGGCTGGTCTTCGTCATTGTGATTTGCTATCCCACCCTCAATGTCGGCAACACCCTGGTCATCTACTCGCGGCTTCACCTGGTCACCAGTGGCCGCAAGATCCGATGGCTATTTTGGATGATCGTCATTAGTTCGGTGGTGTTTCTACTCCCACAGGCCGTCATCGTCACTATTTCCGCCTCTCCCGATGGTGAACATGTCAGGAAACTTTACAAAATCTTCGAGAAGCTGTCCGTGACAGCCACCTGCGTACGCGAGATGATCGTGGGCGGCGTCTTCGTCTGGGCGACAGCCCGCAACCTCAAGCCCCTGATCATGATCAAGGGCCGTGAAGGGCGTAAGATGGTCTTCTACCTGATCGTCGCGACCACTATGATGGTTGTCACCGACATCATCATCGTAGTCGTCGTCCTCTGCGGCCAGCTCTACATTATTTCTGCGCTGACAGCCTTTTTCTCGGTCCTCAAACTGAAGCTGGAGTTCTTCAGCCTGGGGAAATTGATCCGCCTGATTCAAAGCGCTCCGGGCGTCTGCCATCACCAGGCAACTGAGGGCAGCTCCCTCCGCTTCAACAACTCCCCCGAGGTCGACGACCTGCAATTCAACGAGGGGTCTGCGCGCAGCACCGGCGCGCAGTCCGGCCAACAGCCAAGCTCGCAGGAGACGACCCAGACCCACCAAGAAGTGACAGTCAACCCGAATAAGACCCCGGAGACGCCCTCGTCACCCAGGACGGGCGACTCGATGGCGACCACATCCCGCACGCTGTCGACCGACCCTCTCGTCCACGGCCGACAAGACTTCGAAGCCCTCGAGCCCACGCTCAGCGCTCAGCAGCATTTCACCCCGCGAACATGGAGCAACGCAGTATGAGAAGCCGTCGGTGTTGGTCGGCGTTGATGTTGTGATGCTCTTCCTCGTTTCACCGGAATTTGCAATACAAAGTTCTTTCGTGTCGCACTGATCTGCAGACCTGCTTTTTCTTCTTCAGTGATGACTATACCTTGGAGGGATGGACTCTTGTCATGTATCATGTAGCCAAGAACGAGATTATCAGCCTGTTTCCCTGTATGCTAGTAGATGTCCCCGTATATTTGATAGAGCATATGCAAGAGCTATATACCCACCCAAGATATTATCATTCATCCCACCTTGGCCCATTTGCATTCACCCGGGCTTCCACTTACACATTCCCGATGTATCAAGAACACGAGCAAGCTAATCACCCCAAACAAGCCATTCGGCACCCCCAGCCCTCGCCCACCAGCAATTCCACTGACCTCATCCGCCTCATTAATTCTTCCTTCCTTCCTTCCTCCCTCCCTTCCCCCGGTAAGTCCAACAACCCTCCCCCGCATCTTCAAATGCTCGATTACCCAGCTCCAACCCTCCCACAGATCCAGCAACTCACCAATCCATTCGTCGATGCAGAAAGCCCCGGGAAAAGAAGGTCAAGCATACAATCCTATCTCAGCGAGGACGGCCCGCAACCTCGAGAGGGAGGGGGAGGGATGCATCGAGGGTCCGAGAACCTAGAACCCCATCTTGATGGAACAAAAATAAAAAAAAAAAAAAAAGGAAAGCAAAGCAAAACAAACAAGGTAGACGGCAGATAGATACCTCGCATCTCCCTTGATCGCGCGCATGGAAGGTGGCCTGCTCTAGGTATGCTCTAGCTCTATCCATACCTACCTCGTCTCCTTCGTCTCTTCGGCTTTATTTCTCGGAAGGAACGGATAGAGAACGACACACTGGAAAAACCGACAAGGGAAGAAGCTAGAGAAAGAAAGGGCCTTTGCGGTTGGCATGTTCTTGTATCACACTGATGTGGAAAACTCCATAGGTACAGTACAGTACAGTACAGTACAGGACAGTACAGTACAGGAACCGCCTGGAGTTTCGAGGCATGCATGTGTACATGTACATATCTGGACGGGGGGGGGAAGGAGGGGCGCTGCTACATCATGGATACAGAGGTCCTACACAAGGTCGCGTGAGAAGGGGGAGATTTGACATTGAGCGTGATGGTATGGATCCATCGAAACCGAACACCATACAAGGAAGAGGAGGGGTTTGAACAATCGGCGGTGACTTGACTATAGTTTAAGATCATGGGAAGTGAATTACATTCTGCCTCGCAGAGGCCAATGGCATCCAGCCAAAACTCCAATCCAATCATGCCCATCGTATCTGCACCACGAGACTTCAGAAACAACCCGTAACTCCAAAAAGAGAATCCTAATAAACGTACACATACACAGTCCCACACAAGACACAAAGGAGTAGAAGGTTGTGGTGTATTTTGAGCAGCGCAAAAGCTGTAGTAGTTACTCGAACGAAAAACATGTAGTCGAGAACCAGAAATAAGAAACAAGCCCTGGCCATTGATGGTAACAAGAAATGATAAGGCCCAGTCCAAACTAGTGGGGTATACATGGAGAAAATATATGGTTTGAGTGGGAGCGGTCCCAATAGGCAAGAAAACACAGAAAAAAAAAGGAATCTCGATGGAATGAATCCAGGTGTAAATGCAACGAATTTTTCATCATTATGACTTTGATAATGGAATCCCAACAGAGTTAAAACAAAAAGATACGAAGATCACATGCTTCTGGACAAAAGGCATCGTAACCGGTCATAGAATTTTCGTTCCTCGTCATATGGAAGGATAGACGGGCAGGGAGATGGGAGGGTTTTCGGGATTAAATGGGTTGATATGATCGGAGATATAAGAGTCGGCAGGAGTTCGAGGAAGGGAGTTGGAGGTGAATAAGGTCGGAGGGAAAGCGAGCCGTAAGCGCTGGAGACACTCTAAAACCAGCCCCCGTTCTCCCAAGCTCCAGGCCGGTAGGTAGCATTGCTGCGGGCCTTCTGGTCTTCCAATCCACTGAGAAGCACATTGAGACGGTTGAAGTTGATGGGCTTCATCACCCATCCATCAAAGCCTGCACCAACATACAAGGGCATGTCTTTTTCAAGAAGTGAGGCGGACACTGCAAATATAGGCACCCGGTTGTTGGCTTCTGCAATCGGGGAGAGGGAGCAGTTCGGCTCCTTCTCGAGCTGGCGGATCATCTTGGTTGAGTTCAGACCGTCGACGATAGGCATCTGATTGGAAAAAGGCAAGAAAGTCAGTATGGTGCATGTCGTTGGATGGGGGATGGATCATCGCTTACCTGTATGTCCATCAACACAAGGTCATAGCGCGCAGGATCGGCACGGAATGCCGCCGCACATTCCTCGCCGTTGACAGTCAAGTGAACAGCGTGGCCGGCCTTTTCGAGTCTTTTCTGGATGATCTTGCTGTTGATAGGATCGTCTTCCGCCACGAGGATACTGTAGACGCCGGAAGGAGTCTTAGGCTCGGAATCCTGAAGGGTCGTTTGGCCCTTCGATGGTTGCGTAATAGGAGATGCGGGCACCTTTGTATCAGGTTGTGAGGAGTTTGCGACGTCATCTGCTGACTCGGTTTGGGCGAGTTTGGACAGTTCTCGGATAGATACGCCAGCAAGCTTATCTTTGAGGCTGTCGATCGGAATTTGATTGGGATGTATTTTCTCAGCACTACCAGCTCGTGAGATGTCGCCGCTACGTCGTCGGCCCTCGTGAGGAGTAGTTGAGCTGTTATCCACAAGCACAAACTCTTCCTTCGCCTGAAAGGGCGTCGGGCTATCAGTATGAGCCGGAATGTCAGTCGGCTCTAACTCCGGTTGTTCATCGCTTGCGGTCACGAATTGGAGTGAGATCTGAAACCGGCTTCCTTTGCCTTGCTCCGACCGGACACTGAGCTGACCGTGAGTGTTGCGGACGATTCGCGACACCAACGCCAGACCCAAGCCCAGGACTCCCTTTTCTCCTTCTCCTGCGTTCGCCTCGGTTGGGTTGTTAGGATCGCGATCGAAGAAGTAAGTGTCGTCGTCGTTATAGGAAACCTGTTCAAGCTCTTGGAATAAGGTTTCGAGCATCGTGTCAGACATCCCGCATCCCGTATCAAGTACTGTCATCTGGATGGTGACGACGCCGGGCTCTGGGGTGACAGGAGCGCGCCAGAATTCGACGGTGACCTCGCCCTCGGTCGTGTATTGAACGGCATTAGAAATGAGGTTACTGATTGCTTGTCGCACGCGGCGTTCGTCGCCTAGGACCGTCCGAGGAATGCCTGGATGAGTAATCACAGTGTATTTGATGCCCTTGCGTTTAGCCTCCCCTTCAAACATCGCAGTTGCCTCCTTAAAGATTTGAGGTAGATCGAAAGCCTCGTCTTTAATGAGATTCTGGCCCTTTTCGGTGTTGGTGAGGTCCAAGAGATCGTTGATGACGTAAATGAGAGATTTGGAGGCAGAATATGACTTGGTGAGATTGTCGCGAGTCTCGGTATCCAGAACGCCTTCTAGGGCGATCTCTAGGTAATTAATGATGGCGTTCAACGGGGTCCGGACCTCATGGGCGGAGTTAGCCAGCAGTAGCTTCGTCAGCTGCGATCCCTCGAGAGCGGCTTCTTGCTGTCGCCAGACCTTGATAAATTTACCATATACAAGGCAAAGAACAGCGGCAGTTTCAACTTCCGACTCGGACCATTCACGAGACTGGTCGATCACTGTTTCGCTCCAGACCTGAAAACTCTTTCGGGGCTCCAAATGGCCATCTTTGAATTCCTTCTCATGAGGATTGCCGCCCCATTTAATCTCCGTCAGCTGGCCCTTGCGGAAAAAGACAATGAAGTCCTTGCCATCGGAAGAAAGCGGCACATAGAGCATACCCGAGATATGCTTGAAGCCTGGAGGATAGTGCAAATCGGGAAAATCTTTCGTTACATGATGCGATGCAACCACCGAATGAAGCTGACGCATCTTCAAGAACTCTAGTAAGGCCAACATTTCATGAGATTCGGTTGATTTGCCCAAGATTTTAGTTTCGCCGCGGATCGAAATAGCCCCGTAATCCGCATCAAATAACTTGAGCATATCATCTGACGAGGCGATGATATAACCCGAGGGATTTGCATCGGTCGGAATGGTGTTGATCAGCTTGCGAGCTTGCAACCGTGAAGTGTAAGATAGACGCTCAATATTGCGCGAAAGGGTGTCCCCGATCAGTCGACACATCTTGCGAATTGGAAAAGGCACCCTCATAGCCGCGTCGCCGTGGGTATGACATGAGATCAAACCCCACAGGTCATTGGGGCTGTTAATACTGATGGACATGGACGACCGAACGCCCATGTTAGCAAGGTAACGGATGTGAATGGGCGACATTGCTCGTAGATGGGCGTGGGTCAGATCTAGAGGCGTTTCTAGATCCTGTAAACTGCGGCAGACGAGCCGCGAAGTTAGTTGGTCCCGATCGTAAAGTAATCGAACTTTATTTATGCGATACAAATCTCGAGCTTGTCTGGGAATATCCGCAGCGGGGAAATGCAGCCCTTTATAGAGATCTTTGGTGGTCCGCGGGTCAACCAATTCGGCCACGACGGTACCGTTATATTCGCTATCGAATTGATAAATCATCACACGATGGAACCCGGTCAACTCTTTCACCAGACCCACCGTAATGTTGAGGAGTGTATCGAGAGTTTTAGCATCTCCTAATTGATCCTGGATTTGACTGACGATGCTGAACACCTCCATGGCGGCGGCTTCACCGCGTCTCCTGCGGGCATTTCGTAGGACTCGTAGTGGTTGGCTAATATTGACGGTGCTGCTCGCCAGTTGTTCGGGGGTGGGGTCAAACCCAAGAGTGTCGGATTGGGCCAGGGGCGTCGTGCGACCGCCCATGTTGAGAGGGTTGAGCCGGTCATCCTCCAGCTCAAACTCGCACATGATGATCTCTCGTTGAGTAGGGATCACATGAATGGCGCACCAAAATCGCCGGGGGCGTCCACTTCGATCGTTGACCGACAATATGAACACCTCCGGCCCGTCCGCACTGGGATCATGACCTTCATCGCGAACGAAGTCGACATGATCAAGAAGGATGTCGGCCTGATCCTCCGACAACAGGTCACAGAAGCTCTCAAGGGCGAACAGACTGCTCGGGGTGTGGTCTAAGATAGCCTCCGAATTTTCGCTTGCGACCCGAACTGATAGTATGCCATCCTCGTCTTCTCGCATGGCGAGCAATACCCCGAAGCTTTGCACTGCCCCCGGAATGTGGATGGGTTCGTCTTCGCAAGCCATGAACGTATCGGGCGTGTTGCCAGTGATCACGGCGTGTCCGCCAGCAGTCACGACATGCTGGAAGCGGGAGGTGAGGTGCGTCTTATTCTTGTCCACCGGCAGCAGTGTCCCGTTAGAATCGACAGGCACCCGTATGCCAGCGTCGGAATTACGTGAATGGCCTTCGGATGGTTGCTGGGAGGCGTAGTCGGAGGTTGCGGGGGTATATTGAGGTTCGCTACCACTGGCAGCAGCATCGCTTGGTGGAGTAAGGACAGGTTGTGTGCGAAGTTGATCCCACGTGTCGGAATCGATGATCGAGTAGGATCGAGCTCCGCTTCGGGACTGCGTGGAGCTGGTCGTTGCAATGGCTTGAGACGGACTGGTCGGAGAAGGGTTGACGGAAACGATCGATCGGATGGGGTAGACTCTATCTGATCCGCCGACGCTCGTATCACGACTCAGATCGGGATTCTCTGGGCTCGAACCCGATGAGGCCCCGTGGGTGTCAACCGCTAAGTCCGTCTGCGGATCGTCGTCGACATGCTGCCTGGAGACGGAGGAGGGATCCATATTTGCGACCATCGTCGGGATT